GCCGACATCTGAGAGCGTGGAGGCCGCAATATGGACGGTGGTTACCACGTGCACTCGACTAAGATTCGAGTCAGCACTTACATTAATTAATAATTAATGAAGTTTTACCCTTGTAGATTCATCAATGTTTCAATTCCATGCTCGAATTTAAAATTGTTTTAATTTACCCTCGTATTATTTATGAAGTTTCAATTTTACCCTTGAACGCTAAATAACTAACAGAAACCTGATATTTTACGTACTTTTATTTGTATAACTTAATTATTATTTATTTTATAATTCAATTGCAAGTGAAATATTTTAAAACGATAATTCTAAGGAAAAAATGAAGTTAATTTCGTTTTCAGAATTCTTTCTCACTCTTTCTTCGTGGCTATCACTTCTTGTTTTGGACTTTTGAGAAGAGCCACTTTGTCCTCCTCTCCCTTGCATTCCCCGCTTTCTTTCTTTCTACACGTCAATCAACTACAAACAAGATTCTCTGAACGACCCACGGTGGTGGTGCCAGAATCATGATTAGGCTTCATCTACTTGCTTTAAGAGAGAGAGAGAGAGAGAGAGAGAGACAATCGTTAGCACAAGAATTCTCATAAAGATTTTTATGCTCTTATGATTAGGCTCGACGAATATGGGAAAGTTACCGAAGTAAAAAACTTTGATTGATTTGAGGGGACATTTGATGATCGCTAGCTACCGCATAAAAAAATAAAAAATTAAAGGTGTGCATTAAACAACGTTTATATTTTTTTCTCTTAAATACTGATTTGATTTATCAAGATTTTAAGTATAATAATCTGCAAACATGAGTTCAAAATATAGAATTATTGCCGAAATATTTGACGAATTGGTCCATTGTACAGTGAATTTACCTCTACCTACCAAAAAGTTGATAGTTTGATTTATCTTTATACTATAAGCTAATTTTTCAATTTATCTTTATATTCTTAATTAAATTGATTTATCGTTAAATATATATTAAATTTTTAATTTATTATTTGTCAAAATTTTCATGTCAGATCATCAAAATTACTCACTTGATTCTCGGATAATTGATTCACGTATAAATCATATGATTAATTTTATGATTTAGTCTGAAAATCTTATAAAAATAATAAATTAAATATTTAATATATGTTTATAAATAAAATTAATTTAATTAGAGATATATCAATAAATTAAAGAATACTCTTTTATATAAAGACAAAATGAGTCATTGATCCGTAACAAAAGTAAATGTGTGCTACAAACATATGCTTTTGTTCTTTTCTTAAATAAAATTAATTTAATTAGAGATATACCAATAAATTAAAGAGTACTCTTTTATATAAAGACAAAATGAGCCATTGATCCGTAACAAAATTAAATGTGTGCTGTAAGCATATGCTTTTGTTATTTTCTTAAATACTTACTAGACTTGTCAAGATTGCTAAGTATAACAATACACACAAATGAGTCCAAAATACAGCATCATAGCCAAAATATCTGACTAGTTGGTGCATGCATAATGAACTTCTCTAGTTATATACTAAACTCCATTTCATTTTCAGCTTTCTTGCTGATTTTTGGCCCCCTGCCTTTTCAAAACAAAAGCTCTTTTGCTTTCTTTCACCTTTCCCAACCACAAGAATCTTCAAATACACGTTCTATTAAAGCTTAATTGCTTGCCAGTACAAGTCGATCATCTTTTGCTCTATACTTGCTGATTTATTTTTTCTTATAATGGTCAATGGTCAATGGTTGGTTGCTTTACGCCACATTTAATTAATAACCGTTTATTCCATACTCGAGAAAAGTTGTAGCTTATCCTGTCTAAATGGCCGACCTCACCCCATCTCGTAGTGTAACTCGTGAAGATACATGTGAATTTTGAGGTATTATTTCAAATCTTCAAGCATACATGACAATGACATGTGTGTATATAATATGGATTAAAAATTGAAGGTATGGCGGCCACTTGATCTGAAATTCCAACTTTCAACGTTCTATTCCATGGAGATTTAGACCAATATCCCATGTTGACAATGCAACTAGCAGCCTCCAATTGCTAGAATATGTTGTATTATAGACGTTGGTCATTGTTTCAATCATCAAAATGGCAAGTGTTATTACATCATTGTCGTTTTATCTAACTTTTTGGGCGTGATCATGCTCATTGATCACAGTTTTAATTGACGGTTGAGTTTATGTAATAAGCAAGTTTGTTTTATAGGTTATTATGTATGCTTTGACTCTTTTTATAAATGGAAGAATTTGAGTGTATTTTTTATCCAACCAAGTGAAACTAGGAATTAGCCAAAGCGAATGATGATGATACCTTGAAGGGTTAAAAAATCAATATATTCTTATGGAATAAAATTAGTTTTCAATATGTATTTGTTTTTTTAATTGAATCAATTTTATTTTTAAATATCCATTAAGTTTCAATCTATTCTTTTATCAAGATTTTCAAGTCAAACAATTTGAATTATTCACTTAATTTATATGTTGATTTTTATTCTCAAAATACTCTTGCAATCTAGTAAAATTAATACAAATCGTGTGACTAATTTTAAAAGTTTAGCTTGAAAATTTTACTAGAAAGATAGATTAATTACTTAATATATATTAAAAAATTAATTGATTCAATTAGATATAAAACAACAGATTGGAGAATTATCATATCATATAAAGACAGATTAGGACATTAATTCTATTTTGAAAGTTTTAAAATTTGACGATTTGGTCCTCGGACTCATAATTATTTCATAATAAAGATGAATTTTTCCGTATAAAGACATATTTTTTCTCAAAATTCTAATAATTTTTACCATAACATCATTGCGCGCAAAATTCTAATTCTACCTCTACGATCATGACCAAACTTAGTTTTTACTACTATTCAAAATCTTATATGAAAATACCCTAACAATTAAAACTGAAAAAAAAAAATACCCATCAACCAAATCATAAATTCACAAACTATAGTTCTCTTCGTCCATCCAAGAAAAAAAATCCTATGGTAAATTTGCATCAACCACCTCATATCCACAAATTATAGTTCTCTTGATCCATCGGAGAAAGAAAAAAATATCCCATGGTAAATTTGCAATGACTATGTCGATCAATTATCAATAAAACTAAAGTAAAACATGATTTTATTATTCATTCATTATTTGAAATACTATTTACACACTCACAAATCACTATTCATAGTATTTTGGCAACACTTTGGTCCTCAATTTTTCTATACTTTTTTTTTGTTACAATTTCAAACTTTAATTATATTGTGATTGGTCCATTTTGTTTTAGTATTTTTTATTAATTATTTTTATTATTTAAAATTTACTACGTTAATTTGTCACTTGTTTTTAATTCTCTTTATTTTTTCAATTTTAAACTTTAATTATATTGTGATTTACCCCATTTTGTTTTAGTGTTTTTTGTTAATTATTTTATTATTTAAAATTTACTACTTTAATTTGTCTTCTTTTTTTTCAAATTCTCATCCAATTAATTTAAAATTATATTTACTAACAATTTTGATTTATTTTTCTATATGTATGAATTTTGGAATAAATTTTTAGAATATGATTTTTTTTCTTTTGAAAATAGATTTAGATAATTTTTAAATTATAGTGACATGATATATATATATATATATATAATTTTTCTGAAATACATTTTTAGATTAAAATTATATTTCAAATAATTTTTTCTTGGGTTTTTTTATTATTTAAAATTTACTACTTTAATTTGTCATTTTTTTAAAAAAATTTCATCTAATTAATTTAAAATTATATTTACTAACAATTTTGTTTTATTTTTCTATATTTATGAATTTTGAAATAAATTTTTAGAATATGATTATTTTTTTTGAAAAATAAATTTAGATAATTTTTAAATTACAGTGGCATGATTAATATATATAATTTTTTCTGAAATATATTTTTAGATTAACAATGTTTTTCAAATAATTTTTTCTCGATTTTTTTATATTATTTAAAATTTACTACATTAATTTGTCATTTTTTTCAAATTCTCTTCTTGTTTTTTTTTTTTTTTTTTAATTTCAAACTTTGATTATATTGTGATCTAGTCCCATTTTGTTTTAGTGTTTTTTCTTAATTATTTTTATTATTTAAAATTTACTATTTTACTATGTCATTTTTTAAAATTCTCATCCAATTAATTTAAAATTATATTTACTGATAATTTTGATTTATTTTTTCATATTTATGGATTTTGGAATACATTTTTAGAATATGATTATTTTTTTGTTTTGAAAAATAGATTTATATAACTTTTAAATTATAATAGCATGACTACTATATATGATTTGTTTAAAATATATTTTTAGATTAAAAGTGTATTTCAAATAATTTTTCTCTATTTTTTTAAGAAAAAAGTCAAATTAATTAATTAATAGTTGAAAGTCAAATTAATAATAAAAATATTATTCATTCTTTTGTAAATAAATATATAAAAATTAAATTCACATTTTTTTAAAAATCGATATTCTCATCAACATTAAATAAAAAAATTATTTGTTCAATTCTATCTAAGTTTTTAATAATTTTTATTTATATTTTTGGACACAATCTTATAAAATACTAAAGCTTTTTTTAAAAAATTATTTAATTTTGTTTTAGTTAATAATACATGGATTAACAAGGATAAGTCCTTTTTTAAATGAAAAAATATGAAAAACATAAATACAAAATTTTTTATTAAGAAATTATAAATAATTTTTTAACTTTTGATTATATATATTTTTATAGATTCACACTATAATACGTACTATTAAACTGAAATGATTTCATATATTTTATCCAACACACAGCATAGAACGGGTAAAACTAAGATCGAGACAAGCTTGTACTTACAGAAAAACAACAAAAATTCCAATACGTGTAAGAAAACAAGTGGGCGTAAAAAAAAAATATCACTACAACGCAGGAAATCCAGTGGAGCTCAGAAAAACTTTTCACTTTCCATACATACAAAATAGGCGGTAAAAACCAATGCTGAACAGTGCCACCGCTATGTCTAACCCAGCACACTATAAATATGCGAGCTTTGTAGTTATCTCTACTGCTTTGCTAGTTGGAAAAGAGAAGGGTCTAGCTCTCTGTTGGGTGGCCTTGGTTAAACCAAGATCAGATAAAATTATGGCCACCAGCTCTGTCCTTCTTCGTCTTCTTTTCTTGCTTCTCACTCTTTCAGGTTAGTTCTTTCTTGTTTTGACTACCCTTTGCATGCATTGTTCTGTTTGTTTGTTTCCCAGGAAACAGTAACAACAGAAATTGGAAGCTTAAGCTGTTGGCTTATTTGGGTTGCCTTTTTTTATTTCTTTATACCGTATATTCAAGCATGAAAACAGAGGCCTGTCATTGCCACCGATGTTCAGTTTTTTTTTTTTTTTTTTTTTCTTGGCAGTCTATGATGAATTCGGTGGGATTCACTTATTTTTGTGTTTCCTTTTATGAACTTGGAGATGGAGAATTTTAGTCTAACTGAAGCTTAATGGGAATAATTATGATTTGGAAAAGATCCTATTACTTGTTGAACATCCATAGTGGCATATAAAGCTAGTAAAATTTATTCTTATTCGATTTTACGACTGAAAATTTTTCTTTTTTATGTCTTTTGGAATTTCTTTTTTAAATAATTTTCAAGTTTTTTTTTCCACAATGGGCATCTTGATTAAATTGTCTTCAATATAATTTAATTTGGAATCCTAGGTAGTAGCTAATCCTAAGATTTTCTGCATTCTTGAATGATTCTTGTTCTGGTTCCTTTATTCTTTGTTGTAACTTTCATGATTTAGTTTATTCAACTTAAAACTCTGTTTTTCTCTCTGTTTTTCGCTCTGTTTTTCACATTCAGCAGTCAGAGTCCTTGGTGCTGGGCTTGGAATTAACTATGGTCAGATTGCCAACAACCTCCCATCTCCCTCTCGTGTTTCGGTGATGCTTCAATCCCTCAACGTCAGCCGGCTAAAACTCTACGATGCCGATCCGAATGTCCTACTTGCTTTTTCCAATTCAGATGTTGAATTCATTGTCGGAATTGGGAATGAATACCTTCAAGACATGGCTGATCCTGCCAAAGCTCAAAATTGGGTTCAACAGCATATTCAACCCCATCTACCTCAGACCAAAATCACTTGCATCTCTGTCGGAAACGAGGTATTCATGAGCAATGATACCCAGTTATGGTCGAATCTCGTTCCGGCAATGAAGATGGTGTATAACACACTTGTTAATCTTGGATTAGATAAACAAGTGATTGTCACTACTGCGCATCCTTTTACTGTGATAGGAAATTCCTTCCCTCCTTCATCTGGGACTTTTCGGCAGGATCTTGTTCAATACATGCAGCAAATCTTGAATTTTCACTCTCAAACCAAGTCACCGTTCCTTATCAATGCATATCCTTTTTTTGCATACAAGGGTAGTCCAAACCAAATATCTCTAGACTATGTCCTTTTCCAGCCTAACCAAGGGATGATAGATCCAATCACAAATTTGCATTATGATAATATGTTGTATGCTCAAGTAGATGCTGTTTATTCAGCAATTAAGGCACTGGGACATACTGATGTTGAAGTTGGGATTTCGGAGACCGGTTGGCCATCTAAGGGAGATCCTGACGAGGTCGGATCGACACCACAAAATGCAGCGCTATATCATAGTAATCTGTTGAAGAGAATTCAGGAGAAGCAAGGTACACCAGCAAAACCATCTGTGCCGATTAACATATATGTTTTCGCACTTTTTAACGAGAATTTAAAGCCCGGTCCAACATCTGAAAGGAACTATGGACTCTTCTACCCTGATGGTACTCCAGTTTATAACATTGGATTGCAGGGTAATCTTCCTGGATTGCAGGGTAATCAACCTGGAATAGTTTATTCATCAGCATCTAATATAAATGTAAGTCATATTTTCTCTCATCATTGCTAATGTTTTGGTTTAACTATAATCAACAATGGATCTAATCTCATATTTTGAATGATTTTGCAGGCATTTTCTATCTTTAGCTTGGTGATATTTGTTATAGCATACTTAATCCGTCCTTAGATTACACGAATTTCATTGAACGAGGGGGAGATAAACAACAAAATTTTAACACCACACATCCCATGGCCACAGGAAGATTTTTCTAGGTGAGATACTGAGTTTATTTTAATTGAAACAATGATTATGTTAAGTTATCAAATGTTCATTCCAAATTTTGAAGTCAATTATAGTTGGCCTACCTATTACCTGCCTTGATTAGGTTCCAATGGAATTGGCTAACGAGACAATTAGAATCAGTTGACTTTCGGTACTGTTTGATTTTCATGTATTTAGTATTGTCTAGATAAATCTCCAAATCTTATGGTTGAGATTTCTGAATCATCTAAGGAACAGTTTTTGCGCTTTAGGATCCTGTAAGGTAGAGCCCATCTGATGTTGCTTGCTTGCTTTGTGCATCCACCAAGTTGATGCTTTGACGTATGGTGTCTGCTGTATAGAAATCTAATTTTGATAGAAAATACATGGTAATGGGCCGTCATCCTCTTATCTCCACTTGCAATCATGCATGTGAATCTTTCTTTGAGCAAAATTCCTGTTATCTTCAACTAGACAAAAGTCCAAACTTGCTTCTATCAGTATCCGGCTTTCAGCACCTGTTTTTCACAATCTTTTTATTGTTTATTTTTTCTGAACGCTCCAAATTGGTGAGGTATCCATTTTTGTCTTTGACTTTGAGCTCTATCTCCAAAGACGGCTGCCTCTCTGTCTCCACCTTTATTGTCTCTATCTTAAAAGAGAATTTATTGCTTCAGCCGTAGTTGGAGCATTCTCCCATGTATATTTCAAGTTGACATCATTAGGCTAAACATTGCTGTCAAGCTGCTTAATTTCTCAAGACTTCATGCAAAGGGAGGTCTGGCCTTTGATCAAATTAAACTTCGGGTCAAGTTTTTCTACCTTCCAACATTTCCTTATCACATCTACGTATTCAAGAATTCAAGTCCAAGTTACTTCCTCTCCTTAAATGTTTTTATTTCGGAAAGCTAACAGCAGACGACTCTTCAGGTTTTAAGGTTTTCTCTAGCTGTTTTCCTTCCTCAGCCAATCTTTTAGCTTCAAATAAAAGACTAAACCCTACAAGCTAAAACTTGTAACTTGTAAGCCCTATTGGTGAGTGAAAATTGATTATGTTTCCATGTTCAACATGCGTAACATCAACTGATACTTGAGAATAAAGTAGGCTGGTGCCTTTCAACATCATGGGGACCCTGCATTCACATAGATACTTCTTGTTGCATCAGCAAGGGCCCAAAGAAGGATAAGATTGACAGGTAGCCGATTCCACTTGACCATTCGATAGAGTGACTAGCTACCTACCTACTACCATAATATTTGATTCTCAGTTGCCACAAAATCAAATATTTAATCAGCTATTACTGTTTAACCTATCAAATTTAGTCTCTCTACGGTCCCAATTGCCAGGGGAATAATAAATCCAAATTGGTCACAGACGGTGATTGGTTTGATCTTGTTTGGTACTTAGAGACCATGTAATGTTGTCATGTTGAGGAAACATTGAACAAGTTGTGCTAGCAGTTGGCTTGCACAAGCTGACCCAGAAATAAACTAGAAATAAAAGCTGTTACATCCATAGCCTGTCACCCCACCACCATAATTAACTATAATCCAACTTCTGGAATTATTTAATTTATTGCTTAAAACAGATGACTAATGTTATGCTACAATATTTCTATGCAGGGAGAGGGAATGGCAGGAAGGATCATATGGCCAAAGACGTTGCTCAATATCTTTTGTTACTTCAGTAGTCTAGCAAAGCATCTATACAAGTTACAGTGTGTACTATTATTGGAAAAAATGACATTTAGCACTAACATATGAGCAGGATGTTGTTTCCTGGATTGATAGTTCTTCTATATATATATTTCTTAGAGAAATATTTCGCAATAAGGTGAATTAACATAGGCAGAGTTCTTCTTGCTTCCAAAAAGAAAAAAAAAAGGCTAGGTAGAATTGTTAAATTCAAAAGTCTTGTTTAGATGTTTAATAAGGAAGAACTTGGTGAACTTCTTGTATATATAGAGATGCAGCAAATGGTTTAATGGAATTTCAGCTTAACCAGAGCATTAACTTGTGGAAAATTAATTGTCGTAAATTGTTTTTGCTTTAATATTATTCTCAACTCACATAAGTACAGAAGCATGTTTATGATAACAATAGGCATTGGTTCCAAATAAAAAAAGATATATTAATTATGAATTAGCTCCTTTAGTTTCGATAAAGGAAGTAATTAATTTTTTATGTTTCAAAAATTAATTATTTAGTCCTTTCAGTATTGACATTTTATTCCATAAAAAAATTTCTTTTTCTCATTAATTTTTATATTTCTTTTTACTCTAAACAAAAAGTTAAAATAAATTAAAAAATGGAAAAGTATTAAGATACAAATAGATTTAAATAATAATAAAAAATTAAACTAAAAGAGACTATAAAAATCTAAATAAATTGAAAATTGAAAAGTGTTAAGTTATAAGTAGATTTAAATAATTAGAAACTAATTATAAATTAAAGGGTCTAATTTATAATTTAATCAAATAAAAAGAGTGAACTTTCGACGTCTTGGAACTTGAGAGCATGGACGATGGCGTGGGCGTAACATTGGGAAAAGCAAACAATCCTGAAAGCATATCAACTTGGGAACTTTCCGATGTGGTATGGGGCTTTTCAATTTTCATACTTCTAGAGAAGGACTATTACTTCAAAAAAACTAGGTGAACTACTAACGTAGATTTACTAATTAAATTATTATTTTTACTATATTTTAAATAATTATCAATAATTATTATATAACGAGTTTTCGAACAAAATATATTGATAATTTTATATAAAAAAAAATTAGTGAGAATAATATTTTGATTGGTGAATTTAAAATTATCCTTAACAATAAAACCAACTAAAAACATAAGAGTTGTGACTATTCATTCTTTCGTAAAATCACTATTTACTTTGTGATTTTTTGGTTGTTTTTAGGCATTCATATGTAAATTTTACATTATATTTTATTCTGGTTCTTAATGTTTTCAAAAGATATTTTTGATCCCTAGGTGGACTAGGCTTGCCTCCTCTTTTTTTTTTTTTTGGTTTTTTCTTTTTTGGGCAAATTTTTTTTTGAATTTAGTGCAAAACTTATAAAAAATCAATTTTTATTTATAAATTTTTTTTATAAACATCTATATCAAATTATATTATTCTTATTGTTTAAAATTAATCTTTTCAATTTGTCATTTCTTATGAAAATTCTCTTATGTTTGTTTTTTATTCTCCTTTTTTATTTAATTTTAATTGTTAATGAATACAATTTATTTTTTTCTTTGTATGGATTTATGAATCTTTTTTAAATACTTAATTAATTAAAAAATAGAATTCATGTGTTTTATTTGCTTATTCTTTATATAATCAAAATTAATTTTATGGTTTTTTTTTCACGGTCCATTAATTTCAGTATATTCTTTATAACTTAAGTTTTTTTAAAAAATATTTTTTTATTTATACTATACACTCTAATTCACTAAGTATGGTCCTTGTATGTGTAAAAAAAATTAAAATTAATAGTTTTATTGAAAATTAACTATGCATCTATGTACATAACATTAATAATTTGTTATTATTTTTTTAAAAAATAAAATTAACTTTTTAAATAAAATAAGTAAAATAATATTTTAGAATAACCACCTAATAATTCAAATATAATTTTTTATCCTATTATTATTGATTGTTTTGTAAATAAATATATATAAATCAAATATACAAATTTTCAAAAAATTAGTCTTCTCATCAACATTAAAGAACAATAAAAAATATTCATATAATTTTTTATATTTATTGTTGTTTTATTTCTTCGATGCGATCTTATAAAAAAATTATTAAGATGTTTTTAAAAATTTATATTAAATTTTTATTTAAATTATCATAGGTTTTTATTTAAAAATAAATGCACAATGAAGAATTGGTCGTGTTTTTTAACTATAAAATTTATGAAAATTAAATTAAATACAAAATTTTGATTAATATGAAATTAGATGAAATTTTTTCTTTTAGAAATAATTTTATATTTTTTAGTTAATTAATAGCATAGTATGGGCTATCAAATTAAAATAAACTTATTTTGTTTGATTTGCGGCGTAATACAAAAAACCAACTAGTAAATTATAAAAATATATATAGCAAGTAAGGTGAGATTAAGATAGGCGAGTTCTTCTTTCTCCAAAAAAAAAAAAGAAAGAAAAAGAAAAAACTAGGTAGAATTGTTAAATTCAAAATTCTTGTTCGGATGGTCATAAGGAAGAACTTGGTGAACTTCTTGTATGTACATAGATGCAAGCACATGGTTTAATGGAGCTTCACCCGCATTTAAAGAGAGATTTTTTCTAGAGGCTTTGGGGAATGTTAGATAAGCATGAAAGCTTTTAGAAGAGCATGGAGTAATGAAAAAACCTTTAGAATGTTCAAGAAAATTCTAAACATGTCCTAAAGAAAACGAGTTTCTTTCATTATTCTAACATGTGCATATCTAGATAGTTCTTTATAAATATCTAGATAAGATATTTCTAAAGAATCTATTGTTGCTATTAGATCAAATAGATCCTATCCATCAATTGAGGAGGTGGAGGACTATAAATAGTAAGGTTTTCATTTGGCCAAGACATCTAGACATTCGTAAATCTAAGTGTATCTTAGAGTTGTAAGCTTTAGAGAGAGCAATACAAAGAGTTCTTATATCGTTTATATGTGTCTTTCGTGTTTAATAACTTTGTGTAAAGAAGGCTGACTTTGTTTGATTTACGAGCTCGAGAAAGACAAAGTCCATGACATTAAGCATAACATTAACTTTTGGAAAATAAATTGTCTTAAATTATTTGTTTTAATATTACCGTTAACTCGCAGATGCTTCAGTTTACAGTAGCATTAGTTCCCAACAAAAATTATTATTATAAATTTGTTCCTTTAGTTTCCATACACGAATTAATTTTTTTTCAAAATTA